CTATCTCAAAAATTTGCTCCACCCACACAGTAAATTTTAAATTCCTAAAAACTTATTGGTGATGTGCCGTCTCTGAGGATTTTGATTTCGAGAGAGGGGATGAACTTATCGTCCCTTCCAAACCATCTAGTTGTGATTCACATCATTCTTACGTGAGTTTTTATATTTCCTTTGTTCAATCGCCGGTTTTCTCTTCTATTAGTTGAACATGCGATTCCACATCTAAACAGTATTTGCTTAGGTTGGGTATCGTTTATGACTGTTAATCTTGAAAAATGAAAAAAACATTCATATTCGTTTTACCAGCTTCATGTTATCGGCGAGAAAAACATCCTTGGACTTGAAAGAAAGAACTGTGAGAATGCAGTGTGATTTCATACTTCTTTGTACACTAGAGTATCACTATCATTTGTTGTAGAAAAGTTATGTTTTATTGAGCAGCCGAAACGTCAGTGCTTCTCTTAAACGCGTCGCGACATATCGTCTATATCTACCCAAAAAAATATCAGCGTTTCTTGGTCTTCTTTGTCCGCGTTACCGCATAATACTCTAACGCATTTTGTTTGGGTGGATACGGGGTGGCGGTGGTGAAAAATATCGAATGCATCGTAAAACGATACATTTATGACCCATCAATCAGGGTCCTATTTTTTTATAAAAAATGAAAAAAAAGGGGTCCTAGGTAAACAGTACCTGGGACCTTCCCCGCGCCCCGTTCCCGCTCTCCCAGTGACGTCATACCTCCACCTCCGAAGAATCCCCGCGCTCTGTTTCCTCTCGCCACCGAGTACCCCCCGCTCCCCGCATTCCCCTCTAGCCCCTTGGGTTAGGACCGGCCCTATATGTATACCTACTAACCTTACCTCGTACGCATTTATATATCGTTCAATCATCGGAAAAACGTGAACAAAACCGCAACTCCGTCTTATCGTTTGTAAAAAGAATACGCGTTTTGAAAAATAAAAGGTGCGCGCAAAGGGAGATAGAAACGCATGACGCATCGTATCATATTCACAGGACGTGGTATCTCTACATACACAAGATAACGGAAAGAAGTCAATATTGTGGTATCTCTACACACACACACATACACACTGGATAACGGAAAGAAATCAATATTTTTATTATAAGTATTTTTTTTAATTGCATACTACGAAATACATCGATTATAAATTCGACGTTTTCTTAAAGCGTAAAATAGTGTATCTCAATAAAAAACTTACAACATATCGAGTAAAAATAAAATAAATAGTCGATGTCGATTTATGTCGTTATGTGACTGACAAATCCACTTTATTTTGTTACTTGCTTTGAAATCGTGTCCACCGCTTAAATAATTTTAATACATTCTCTAACGCACAATGTTTACTGTGTCTTCCACAACGGAACGTATTAGTCGCATCTAAATTTTCAAGGGGTTCAATGTCTTCGTAATGTATATCGATCGTTTCGATCACAACATCGTCACTGTTCAAAATGTCGCTTAATCACTCCCGCTTTTCAGGTCCTTTCACATATACGATAGCTTCGCTCTCCCCTAGCACAGCTTCCGAAATCAAACGCTGTGCCATACGGTATGGTACCACGCCATCGTTCCATCGTAATCCGTGATAATGTGACATCAATCACGAAGCATGCGACTGATCGGATTTCGTTAAGAAACGCCACGGCATGGGACCGTAAAGATATAGTGCGTCAGAGTATTCTCATTTTTCAACACTGCTATTTCCTTAACGACGAATCGTTTGTCCACGACGAACCCTTATAACATGCACAACGATTATGACGAGTTGCAAAAAATAAGCAAGAGACAAAGTAATAAAAAATACCTTGTAAATCGACGAACGTCGGCACCATAATGATGAGTGAGATGTGTTGTCGCAAATGAATACTAAAGAAATATCATAATCGTGCGGTGTGTCCCTTTTATATCATGTCCCCGTTGAGGATGTGGTGCATCTCTACTTCTTTTAGCAGACAAACGGATGCGCAATCACAAGTAAAAAAACGAAAAAATTATAGATATATGTAAATATACGATTATATATAATATATATACGATTATATACGATAATATCTATGCAGCTATTAATATAACGTTTTTTCCCTCTCTTCCTTTTCTTTAATAAACGTTATTTATTTCCTTCGTCGTTTCTGGTACCTTCCTTATATCGTCAGCTACACAATCCAAAAGCTGATTCATCATTTGCTGCTTACAATCTCTGGGGGAAAACGTCAAAAACTGCGTTCTCAATTTTGCATGTTTCCACCATTGGCTTTTTTCCTTATTTTTAATATCGTGAACATCATATACATTTAGACACATCAGCCGATGTTCAGTTTGCCCTCCCGGAGTTCCCACGGAGTAAAGACGATCATTGTCCAATTTTGTAACGTATTGGGATATTCAGTCGGTTTTCTGCTTCGAGGTTGAAGCAAAAAGCGCATCCATACCACCACCATCACCTCTAGGTGTCAATTCTGGTGACGATGTGAAAATCTCGCAATCGACGATCGATGTATCAACAGACGTCGATGTTTGACGTCTAACAAACTCCTTAAGATCGTGCAACCATTCGAAGAAAGTATTCGTCGTCATGAAATCTTCCATAAACGCGGAACGCAAGTGTTTGCTCTCGGGGGTAGAGAAAAAATGATTCAACTCTTCCATAGAATAAATAGAATTCAACATACTCTTTTTCTTCAGCACTTCCAAAAAAGACATTAACGCATCCTTCATCGTCTTTGCCTCCCTCATACGTATCGTGTTCGGGTCAATTTTTCGCTGATTCAACATATAGGTATCTGTATACATCCAATCATTATTCTCAGATTTTTGATAAAAAACGTATTCGTAATCCATGTCTAATATATTAGATCGATTAAAGAACCCATATATGTTTCTCCCAACGCATCTTGCTTCTCGTCTAATAGTTGTTCGGCAAAATTCTCGGAAGACTTTGTCGGTTGATTTAAGCTCTTCGACGTTTTTACTTCGAAACTCCATCGTATTAAAAAATAATAATACACATTCAACTCGCGAAAAAATATGTACGAAAAAAGCCGTGTCCCGCATTTATATATTGCTGATCATCGGAAATGTTAAAACCACGATCGAAAGAAACCAATCGTCACATCCTGCAGGAAGTGGTATCTTTTTATCGCGATACAAAACTGTGTAAAAAAATATAATAAAAAATGTAAATACAAAAAATCGTGATCATCGTAGAATGTTAATAAAACGCGATAACAATCAAAATGTTAGATAAAAAAATCGCAAGAAAAGTGGCGTAGGTGTGAGAGAAGACGCGTTGATGGGGTTGGAAAGGGTAAAACACTTCACGTTCCATCGCTCTTATCGCACGGATGTAGTACCTTTATCACATCGCAAGGAGACAAAAAAACAGAAAAACATAGATAACTGTGTAAAAATACAAAAATCTTACGGAAAGTGCGACACAGAACGCGCTGATAGCTTGGAAAGATAATGTTTTTCTTATATTCCGAATACTTCTTATCACATCCTTAAGGATGTGGGATATTTTTTAAAAACTGTGCAAAAAAATAATAAAATACAATCATAAGTAATAAGGTACAGGTTGGATGTCGAATGCGTTTCTTCGAAAGTTTCTTCGATATGACGCGCATTGGACTAATCACGAATATATTAACATACATGTTTTTTTTATTTACAATACATGTTTAGTGCAATACATATTACTAATACATTGTTTTTTTAGTGAACGTATTAAAATGCTGAATTAGGCGGTTTCGCAAAAAAAGAGAGCGATCGCGCGAGAGAGCGGGAGCGAGCGATCGCGCGCTTGCCCTCGATCGCGTCGGACCGCCGCTGCCTGCTCACCCCGCTCAATGCTACGGAACGACCGACGGGATCGGGGGTCCGAGGGGACCGCGCGCACACACACACCAACGTCCCGGTACGTTAATGAGCGCACGCACACCAATGTCTCGTGGGGGTCGGGGCTCGGGAGGAAAACTGGACAGAGGTGGGGTACGGTGATGGGAGGCCAATGCGGGTCGATGATTGGCTGCCCCGCGCCACAGTACCCCTCCCCCCCTCGCCCAGTTTTCCCCTCGGCCCCGCATCCCGCGGGAAACCCCATGGCTTGTCTTTTCATGGCTCCATATTGGTTTGCTACTTTTATGCTATGCTATAACTTTTCTCACGCTGCAAACGTTACCTTTTCTGTGACTCTTGTGAGTTCTGTGTGCAGTATCTCGAGTAATTTGAAGAACCGGCTCTGTTCAGATTGGCTCCTTGTGATTTTTTGGTTACGTCCTCCTTACGATCCTGTATATACCTCAATTGATGTATTCTCGTTTCGATCCGAGTGTGGGAATCGCTGGGATAATTACAGAAAAATTTGAATATAAGGTATTAAATGTTCATTGTTTGGGTAAATAAGAAGTACTCTATTCCATAAAAAATCAGTCTTTTTTTAAAGAAAAGCTAGTTACAAAAAGTCTGAGCCTGTAAGAATAGTATAAGGTCTCGCTGAGCATTCACGACAGTTACCGAAAGTGAATTGTATCGACATCTGTAACTTAATCTGATAACGATATTAGTACGTATTCGTAACAACGGCGCTGTTTGCTCCGAAAGAGAGGCGACGGTTATAAGATTCAGAGCACGCATATTCGGAGCACGGTCTCTCACCAACTTCCGAAAGGTTCTCTTCCGCGTGTTAAGGTGCCATTTCATGCAGCGAAGCTTCGCTGGCGAAGACCCCCCACTCCACCGTAAACGAAGCCAGCGGTTCTTCGCTCTTCGCTGAAACCCCGTATCCTTTTCATGGGCGAAGCTTCGCGAGGATGTCCAACTACTGTGCTGCGAATAAAAAGAGCGTGATAACTCCAAATATAAAGTGAAATATTTTTAACTGTTCGATAAATATAACGAAACATATTTTTATCTTTATTAATATTTGGTCCTCCAGACTCTTTTTTCAGTGTAAAAATATATCGAAAGAAATAAAAAGATGGATGATGAATACGTACAGAAATTGAAATGTATATTTTTACTTGCGGGACAAGAGATTAAAAGACGGCGTACAGCCGCAACAGCTGCTGTGATATATTATGTGGGAAGCACTAAAAAACAGCAATATGCAAATAAAAAATATTGGGTAGCGCCCATTTTTCAAAATCGAACAAAAAAAAGTTTTTACTTCGCATCAATTCCACAATTGAAATTGGAAGATTTTCGTTTCCGCAATTATTTTCGAATGAATAAAACTCAGTTCGAGGAATTGTTACAAATTGTTGGTGCAAAATTTCAGAAGCAAAATGTTGTCCGGGAATCAATTTCTCCAGCCGAACGCTTGGCAATGACATTGAGGTTTGTTTGAATTTGTTTATGTATGTTATGAATGTAATATAAAAATACAAAGTATTATATTTACATTTTATTATCACATAAATTAGTATTTTTGAAAAATTTTAGATATTTAGCATCTGGTGATTCCATGACGTCGATATCATATCAATATCTTGTGGGAATAACAACGGTTACTAACATTATTAAAGAAACATGTGCAGTAATTTGGGACAGTTTGTGTCCTTCTGTTCTACCTGGCCGATTACAAGAAAAAGATTGGATAGCTATAGCCAACGGATTCAAGAAATGGAATTTTTCACACTGCATTGGAGCTATCGATGGCAAGCACATTGTCATCCAAGTATGTACATTGAGTATTAGAGTTCAAAACAGTTAAAAAAATCACTTATCAAACTACCCTCATATAGTATCCTGTTTTTCTACAAAATTAAGGCTATTATCCGTCATCTTTTTCGCTGAACACCGTCTTTTTTTCTCTTACATAGCACAAGATCTAAAGATCTGTCAATTAAATGCGACTCACTTGTGAGATTTGGAGTTTTTAATTATTGAACTGAGGATGACTTAAAATAAGTCGAAACGTTTTCTTAAGAATTTTTAATTGTGCGAATAATTATATGTATTTTCATTAACATTGATAACGACACAACGAGCATAAGAATTTTAAATATGTAACTTGCGAATAATTATATGGATTTCTATTAACATTGAGAATGACCCGATCGGGTTCGGAACGTTTGTCGTTAGACATGTCAAATTTATATTTATGTAATTTTTGTTTTTAAAGTAAAGTATCTTTGTTACCTAACAGCTCGTTTGCGCTTTTATTATTGAATATGAAATTAGATTAAATTTGAAATGACAATTTTCTGTTTTAGTGTCCCAATAATGCCGGATCAACATATTTCAATTATAAGCACGCGCACAGTATAATTTTGATGGCCATCTGTGATTCAAATTACATTATCCGTTTTGTGGACATTGGAGCATATGGACGACGCAGCGATGGGGGTACATTTAAAGATAGTGTCATAGGAAAAGCCTTCGACAATGGTCACATGAACATTCCGCAGCCGGTTGCTATATCAGGCAGTCCTGTTTTACCATATTGTCTTGTAGGAGACGAGGCTTTTCCTTTGAAGCTATACTTGCTTCGTCCATACCCAGGTAGAGGCCTGACACCGGAAAAGGAAGTATTTAATTATCGTTTAAGTCGAGTAAGACGATTAATCGAAAATACCTTCGGTATACTCGTCAGTCAGTGGCGAATATATAGAAAGCCAATTATCGCCAATCCTGAAACTGTTGTGCAAATAGTTAAGGCAACCGTGTGCTTGCACAATTGGCTTCGAAAAAACGACATTGGTATTAACGAATATGTACCTATCGGCATGGTCGACGACAATCCAAACATTCCAAGTGGATTCAATGCAGGATCTTGGAGAAGCATTATGGAAGATAGTTGTGCGTTCAATGATATTGGAAACTGTGGCTCTAGGATGAGTTCCCGAGAATGCGTAAACATTCGCGAAGAATTTTGTCGCTACTTTAATAATGAAGGTGCAGTGCCATGGCAATACAATCGTCGATGTTAAAAATATTTCCAATAAAATATTTCTGATATTTCTGATTTATTTTTATTATTGACAAATATAATAGACAAATAAAATATTAATATAACAGTTATCTCTTATTCTTTCCTTATCTATTTCTTTTTTTTGCGTCACTTATTATTTTGAAAATGTCCAACATTATTTCGTCCAGTAATTCCGAATCAATATCACGAAGTAGAACAAGTATCAAATTTGCTATACATGTAGGTTTATCAAGTGTCGTCATTTGTGAAGATTTCTGTGAAGGAAGAGAGAAAATTTGCTGTATTTGCTCCATATTAAAGGACATTGGATTCTCCAAAGAATCGACAATCCGATCTAGGAGACCGTCTTCGGTCATGATACGTTTACTACCTGTAGAAAATATTCACACCCTGCATTATAAATAAAATTGTAAATTAACTTATATTTCAAAAACGTATGAATTTGTAATTCTTATGTATTTTTTACAAAATGGTTCGTTTTGACATGCAAATATAGTCTACAAATAAATTTTATTATAATGAATCTACCTCTACGACGACTGTTGCTGCTACCGCTACAGCTGTTGTCAGAAAAAAGATTCGATTCCAATGAATTTGATTGTGAATCATCCAATTCCGATGAAATCTCGATATTGCTGACAGTTCTGTCACAAGAAAAGAAAATTTGATTACATAAAAATAATAATAATAATTATTATTATACTTGCATCATTATTATACATACATACCTACTCTCTAACCGCATATCATTTAAAAACTACATACGTTGTAAATGTACCCACGGTCTTTTTCCACTCGTTGCTGCAGATCCACTTGCTGCTTGATCTTTTTTGGAATGAATTCGAAAAGAATCTGTTAATGATTTCCACTTCTTTTTTATTGTTTCAATGGAAGGGAGTGTTCCTAAAAAAAGACGTACATAATTCGATAAATCAGTATTTTTTACCCAATTCAAATGGACTTGACTC